GGAGGCCTTTAGGTGGCATGAGACAGTACGGCGTAGACAGGCTGTTGAAAGTGTGGCCAGCCTGAGAGTTTATTTGAGACGCGAGGACCCAAGCTGAAGTATATATTTAAAGACTATAGGGATCCTAAACATGAGTTCAGTAAACAGTATTGTTCCGAACCTAAATTTTTGGTCGCCTAATGACCTTCAGACAGTGGCTCATTATCGCTGACCATTGTTACTGTAGTCTCAAACCAACAGGTTGCAGTTGACAACAGAAGGAGGCATCCAAAATTCATAGTTCGTAGGTCGAGTTGTTGCTCTAGACAACACGCTAACGCTCCTTGGCGCAGGTCATCAAGTTCCCCACCGCCCGAACATTAATGCCCCCCATAAGCTCTGGCCAACCTTCTCCTGATAACTATCTCGGCATTCTCACGTTCCAGATACACACCACACCACAAGGACAATGCCTCCAAAAGGCGCAAAACCTACGAGCGATGAGCTCCTCGCCCAATTCGACGACCTCGGCATCGACTCTACGACGGAGAAGCAGCCATCGAAGCCGACAGCTGCGTCCACTACCGCACAGTCGGAACAAGATATCCTGGCTGAACTGGACAATCTAGCTTCGCAGCGCCCAAGCAGTGGGCCCGGCACTCCACGACTTTCAACGAACGAGTCTAGACCAGTAACCAAGTCACCCAAGCCAGCAGCAGTAGCAACACCTCGATCTAGCGAAGACAAACCGGCTTCTCGTAAGTCTGGGGAGAGTGTTCGGTCAGCCCGTGCTGGAAACAAGTCAACAACTACACTACCGTCAGAGCCCGAGAAGCCAAAGGTGCAGGAGGCGCCTGCCGGCGGAGGTGGAGGATGGTGGGGAGGTATCTTTGCAACGGCCACGGCTGCTATGAAGCAAGCCGAAGCTGCAGTCAAGGAGATTCAACAGAATGAGGAGGCCCAGAAGTGGGCGCAGCAAGTGCGAGGGAATGTTGGAGTTCTCAGAGATCTAGGTGTGTGGACAGTGCTAGTTTCCTTCATTTGATTCGTGCTAATCATAGTCTCTAGGTGGCGAGCTCAAGAACAAGGCCCTACCTACATTTACCTCTCTGCTTCACACCATTGCGCCGCCAATTTCGTCTCATGAACGGCTCCAAATACATGTCACTCACGATATCTCCGGATACCCCGCTATCGACCCTATCGTCTACTCCGTATTTTCGCGCGTAATGGCTCAGGTCGAAGGCGGAGACCTCCTCGTCATCCAACGCGGTCAAGAATCCGCCCCGAAACGCGGACTTGACCTTGGAACCTCATTCTCTACCGCAGGCTGGCAAGATGGCCCTTGGTGGCGCACTGTCACACCTGGAACTCCTCGCAGTATCTCGGCCGTCCGAGGCATCGTGGAGGCCACCAAGCTTGCTCGGGCGAGCGCAGAATCATATGCCACCGAGTATTTTGCCTCGAGGGGCGGAGTTGAAGAAGCTGCGAGACAAGCAACTCAAGACTTGAGCGAATCCAACCCGGTTCGGAGCAGCGACATTTTCCTAGCTGTCCAAGCCATCAGTCAGACTTCATCAACGGAGCTTTTCCAGGCCGGCCCGGCGACGGAGATGGCGACCCCTCCTGGGGTGGTTGACGTTCCCGAGGCGACAGAAGAGGAGGTCGCATTTGCCCTTTACCTCCATGACCCCATCCATGGCATTGCCTTCCATACTATCTCCCAGACAATTCCCCAAAAGTGGATCGATTGGCTGGATGCCGAGGCCCCAGCTGCCGCAGACCTCAGCGTAGAGGACGCGAAGGCACCGCGCACGACCGTCCCGGAGGATATTGCTGAGATTGTTGCCAGCGGCGCTGTCGATCCCCGCGAATGGGTGGCGGAATGGCTTGAAGAATCTCTAGCATTAGCCATAGGAGTCGTTGCACAGCGTTACGTGGCTCGGAGAATGGGCGTTGGTGAGGGAGGTCCCGGTAAGGGCAAGATGCGAGCTGAACAGGCGTCTGTCGTAGAGAGTGGAGCAGGAGAAGCCGCAAGAGCGCTCTAGTTGAGCGTGGGCTGTTTCGATTCATACCATAATATGCCGCTTCACAGTTCATGTGTGATTTAATATGTTCATACCATTATCCGCTATACCAAGTCCTCGCAATTAAACCCTGTTTGATGATTCATGAGCAGAGCTGCTTTGCAGCACGTTTCCCGGTCATACCTGGAGATATCCCTGCGTTGAGTTCACGAGGACCAAGAGCTCACAGTCCACCCAGTTATCTTGTTGCCTTGGAAAAGTATCCACAAGAAGACGACGATTTATACCAGTACGCATACTCGCCAAACTAGGGTTCATAGCATATCGATCTCCGAAACGTATCATTATTCAGAGGTCCATACAAGCACCTGTATCCTGAACCCTGTCAACCGCGTAACCAAGCACCTCCAAGCAGTCTGATACGCCACGGGCGTTATGCTAGGTGCAATCGTACAAGGTATTTCGAAGCTCATGTGCCGCAGAAGGCAAAAATAGAGGACTGTAGCAGCATAAGAGCAGCGAGTTAGCGTCCACCTCCCTCAAGGGATATTTCATTGAGGGGTACTCATAGAACTTGGTGCCTAACGCAGAAAACGAAGATATTGATTTCTCCTAACAGCATCATTTATTGTATGACAGTCGAGTCGTTCAGACAGAATTCCTTCGTGGGTATCAGCTATTAGCCTTAGTCGGAGAGTTGTATATTCCCGAATTGAGTAAGAAAACGAACTTTAGAGATGGTTGGCTACTCTCTCAACTTGGCTTGTATGATCTTTCCCTGAAGGGCAGTCCATTCGATGCTTGGGCAATGTGAACGGTTCCTGTTGCTTTCGGTGCACTTATGTGGCCCGTTGCGAGTCTCTTGTAGCGGATAACAATGTAGGCTACCCTATGCGGTGAAACCAGTACAGCGTACAATCCAGTAGCTATTACGTACTTCGAAGTCTGTATCCCAGAGGGCTCTAAAAAGGAAGGAATGGCATCGTATCTTGAGTGCCTGAGGCAGGATATTTGGGATAGATGAGCGCTCTATTCCTTGAGTGTCATGTTTGGTTTCTATTTTTCGAGGGACCAGCCTTTTCTGATCCAGTGAATGCTACCCGGTTCTTGAAGAGAATTTCAAAAGAGAATAGAAAAGAAGAGGCAGGAACCTGTCATGCTCTATTCACAGTCATACATCTGACGTGAGTACGACGAATCAATAAAGCGCTGGAATCTTCCACTTCGACCAGCCACCACTTCGAAGACAGAAAAACATTGCTGCCGTAGAATTTGTAGAGTGACTGGCTATCCCACCATGGATGAGGATAGACTCAGAGAGTGTCATTGAGAGTTGCTGGTCAGGAGATGACTCTTCGACTGGGACAGGTATCATTGCATGTCCAGAGCTTCCTGAAACGTCGAGACCCCCATAGACGCAAAAAATTAACGTAGAATCAGTTAGAAGTATTCATTTTCTGCAAATATTCAATATGAACCACACTTTAATGCTGCTCTGAGTCACTGAGCCAGAAAAGCAGGGATTTCTGCCTGGAGCGAACCGGATTTTCCAGTACATACGCATCATAGTGAATGAATTCAGTGAATATCTTCCAGTCTGTAAGCGAGCCAGCCACTGCACCTCGCACTATTTAAACCTCCTCCTTCCCCCTTCCCCCTCCTTCTCTTCTTCTTCTTCTTTTCTTCCTCACAAGGCGCAAGTCTAATACAAGTCCACCTCTGCTGACTTGTCCTAGTTGCGATCATCGGCCTTTCCTTCTTGAATGTGTTGCTATGAAGGCTTGTTGTTTCCCAGCAGTCCCTGCAGCGCCAGTTGTAAACTGCAGCCGCTGGAGACGTCCACTGGTGGGACAAAGTCATACGGCACTGCTCGAAGGAAAGGGGAAGTTCTTCCCTCGAGAATGTGATGCTATGGAGGCTTGTGCTATCCCGGCAGTCAGCAGGACCCAGCTGTACTGCAGCCATTTAAACAGAGACGTCCAATGGTGGGATACAGCCATACGGCGCTGCTCGAGGAGAAATCTGGGTACAGGTAAGGCATCTTCTTTACTCATGTCTTCGTTCTCAATTTTGTTCTCTCGCCTTGCTAACATCGACAGTCACTCGGGATATCCGACTAAGACTTTCCCATTCCCGATGTTTCGTCTTCTTTGACCTGCCAGTGAGTTTTCCTTTTGTGTTTTGAGGTTGCTCTTGTGATGACTTTCGTTGCTGATTTGTTATCTCTCGTCTCCAGGTCAGAGTGTGGCCCTCCTAACGGGGGCTTATAGGGGTAACACCCAGAGTCTAACCTACTCATCAACACAGCAAGCAAACGGCCTTTGGATTCCGCCGAGTTCTGGATACTAATGGAGCAGCTGAGGGGTTCCGGGGGTCAAACTTACAAACATGTGGGAATTGGGCAGTTCTGGGGGTCAAAGTAACAATACTGTGGGAACTGAGGGGTCTTCAAAATCCTACCTGGCCAGTAGGTGCCTGTTCATCTGGATCCTCGAGGAACCGATGGCAGGCCTCCAGCGACGAGCTCGCACCTCACCGTGGTGCTGGAGTCTAGTAGCCATCCTGGCGAAGCTAAGACGAGCTCACTTTGTATTTACTTCTTTGCTTAGTTAGCTTATGTAGTGTAGGTAGTTGCAATGAGAACATGTTCTTGCTTCATGTGGATGTTTATACAAAGTAACCTTTGACTACGTGCAGCGTAGCCTGTGTAGATTGACAATTTGTTGATGTATGGCTTTCGCAGACAAGCAGACGAGCATTTGATATGGTCACCCTCCCGCCTCATGCCGAATATAGCAAGTCGAAGCAACTAGGCATACAATAAGGTAGGTTAACCATCGGAGTTTTTAATGTCTAGGTCTAGGAGGAACAAATGTCTACTGGTTCTCGAGCAGGATTCAGCAAAAAGTCAAGTGGTGATAATGCAAAAAGAAAAAAAGAACCTTTGTGGGTATCTATCTGTCTATCATCTAACTTTTCATATTCATGAGTCAATCAGTCATCAAGTTCCAAGGGTCCATCAAGACCAGAAACATGCGAGAAGTTTGCGGTAAGGGGAGTAACACTGTATTCGACAGTCAGCTTCCTGCAAACGGGGTATACTATTCAATGAACGAAAAATGATAGAGGGTGCTAACCTAGTACTTCCATTCAGAACAGTATGCGCATCAGTTCCCTCCTCGCTTGCCTGCAGAGCTTTCTTCATCTCGGACAATTCCGCCGACCAGGCGAAACTGCGTTTCTTAAGGTGCGAGCTGCCGAACCCATTCACAGCTTTTGTGGCCGAGCCGTTACTCAGTTTCTCGGCCTTTTCATCTGAGTGGTTCGAGCTTCCGTTCGTCAACCCCGGCGTAGAATGGCCGTTGGCCTGAGTCACTTCGGCGTACAGACAGCCCTTCGACCAGTAGTAGGGTAGAGTGCGAGTATAGCGGACCGGTCTGGTTTCCACGTCCGCGCGCATTGGCACGTTCAGATTGTACAGCTCGACACGCTCGTCCCAGTTCTGGTACAGGTGGTTGACGACGCGCACAGCGAGCCTGGCGGCGGCGCGGATGACTTCGATCGGCTGCTCGTCCTTGCTGCCGAAGGACATGGCGATACCGCGCTTCCCGCAGATAGCGGCTTCCAGGGCGCCGCCGACGGTCCCCGAGGAGAGGTTGTAGATCGTTGAAGCGTTGCGGCCGTGGTTGGGGCCCGAGATCACGAGGTCAATGGGGCCTCGGTCGGCGAAAAGGTTGAACAGGCCTAGTTGGGTACAGCTGGCGGGTGTGCCGTTGGTGATGACGACCCATTCGCGATTCGACTCGTTCTCGTCGGGGGTCTCGTACGCCTCGTCCCATGTTCCGTCTTCCCGGAAGGCGTCCGGGGGCACATATGTCGCTTCTAGCGCGGCTTCGATGATGTGTGCTTTGCCGATCCAGGACCGAGATCTCGCTGGGATTGCGACGGCGACCTGATGGCCGGCGGCCTGGAGAGCATCGACAAATGGGCGGATGTATGGAGACAGGCGCCGCGAGGGCGGACCGTCGTCATTGACAACCTGGGATAATGATCACATGAGTATTTTGTTCTTTTCTTTTGGTGGCTCGCCATTCTCAATGCGCCAATGGGTATTGAACGCAAGGTGATACAGAAAAGAGCAAGGTAACTTACCAATATATGCATGCTGATTGCCAATAGTACCTTGAGCGCTGAAAGGTTCTACGGAGCAGCGTCCTTGATCCGGTTTGCTGAAACGGCGGCGTCCTTTGGCTGGAATGTGATGCGGAGAAGTGTTGAACGGCCCCCACGCAGATATGATGGTTATCTTTTCTACGGCGCCCTCGATTTTGACACTGGAGGAGATAGTATTTATAAGAGTCATTGCGCTCGGTAATGATTGAGCCCTGGAGGGCCTTCTCAACCTATCCCGACTACCGAAAACATACCGGGGAACCTCCAATCTGGCTACGGTGAAGCTGTTTTGCGGTGCGGGGGTCCGGAAGTTGTTCGCAGAACATAATCAACATCGGTCATATTCGTAACGAAAGGGTGTCATAGCATGTACTATACTTTAGTATTGTTAGTAATTGCTTGACACCAAGGGCAGCAAAAAGGTAACGTACTGTACGGAACATGACATGACGCAACCTCATGGCAACCAAAAAGAGGCTGCGGTGAAGACGGACAAATTGCAGCGCAGAGGAGATTATTGGTTTCCCTCGGATACTGCGCTTACATATTAGTAAAAGAAAAGAAATGGTCAGCTGCTCATGTTCAAGACTGGAAGTGAAGCCTTGTCTGACTCGATCATGAAGTTATCTCGATGAAGGATCGATAGAGGCAAGGATGGTCAAATTGTAGGCAGATTTATAAAGTTCTAGTGCACTAACTAGTCTAATGGTAGGCTTATGGGTCTTTATGCACATCCAGGATCTCCGTCTGCACAAATAGATACTGTGAGAGTAGAGTTCAAAGACAGCGTGGCATCTAAATCCATATATGGAGTAGAGTCAAAAGGCAATTGTGCAGAGGATCATTAGATAATAATAGGTAGTATGGAAGAACTTGAAGACACAGCTGTGATGGACAGAAATACTATCATTAATAATATCCTTCCAGAAGATGCATAAGAATGGCTCAAACCAACTCAACCACGAAACCCGCCATACCAGAGCCAGAAGCTAAATCTGCACCAGAGACAAAAAAGTAAGAGGGAACGGCTATCGGGCAACCCTTTTCCGTATTAGGTTTTGATGAGACGATTATGTCGCGTAATCCGGTCCATCCGTAAGAGTATCAGAGTTGGAACAACGGGAGCTTACCTTAGGTTTTGGCCCCCAGTGCGCCCTGGATTTTGACACACTGGTACGTAATGCCCCTTAGCCAGTCCATCGTTTAACTGATTATTTGGGTTCCGCGGACTGCACAGAGGAGAGCCCTTGAGGAAAGGAAAACCAGGGCAAATAAGACCAAGAAATACTTGCACGCCGAGAGATTGGCGAATGACCATCACCGCTTGAAGCGAGTCTGCCGGGCAAATTGACCATTGGCCATCTGCAGGGAGTCCATTCACCCGGGCACGAGGTCCTCAACCCTCCTGTGCTTCAATGGTCCAATTCCTCCGCCCCCTTTGACTTTTTCAAGACAGGGCAAATAGAATATTAATAGTTCGCCTTCTTACGCAGCACGATCCGTCTTTCCGTGCTGGACTGTCAGAGTCATCCTGGACATCGGAGGTTTCCAGAATCGCTGACGGCTGATTTGGACCATAAAGCAAGGATAAAAACAAGTCATTGTAACCCTCTTCCTTCTCATGAAAAGTAGTGATGCTCCATCCTGTATCCCCTTTATTACAGTGACACGCTGCCACAGAACCAGATATAAGAGGCGATCCAAATAATTCATTTTCCCTAGCTTATCAAAGCACGCCATCGTATTATTAGTGAGCCTGTCCCGCTGCAAGCTTCACATCGGAGGCCGATCGCCGCAAAATCTTTGGTGGGGAACACCATCAATTCAACCAACCCGGTCCAACACACTGACTGTATCACATTCTGTCCTCACCACCAGACCATTCTTATTAGCATTGTCATCAGTCCCTGCTCTCGCTCTTCAGTCGCTCTTATATTATCGTCTCGACTGTCTCCGTTGGTCTCCACGCGATCTGGAGATACTCCGCTCCGTCCTCGTCTCCCTTCGCGCTTCACTTGCACCCGTGGGAAGAGTCAAATCTTCCCGCTTCGTCAATTGCGACCCGACAATCTTTGACGGATAGAAAGTCACATCCCTCTTGAGTTACTGTTAACTCGAGAGGCCATCGACGTTTCCCTTCCTCGACTTCGGTTTCGTATATCCCCTGTATGGACTGCGGGACTCCTGGCGCAGCTGCGGGCATTGACCCCAAAATACTTGACAATTGGCAATCCGATACCGCTTTTTCGATCGCTTCGTGGGAACACGCCGGCTACGATCAGCAACTTGAGTGGGATACCAGTCCAGACTCGAATCAGGATGAAGTGGACATTGTGGATCTAGGTATTCTACATGGTTCACTGGCCAACGATCAGCCCAGCGCGTCCGTCTTTGGGCATAATTCCGACCCTAGGTTAGCGCAGAGTCTCCTCTCCAGTCTGCGATGGTCGCGATAGAAGTAGCTGACGGATCTTTGATATGCTTGCAGCAACCCAGGTCTCACATCGCCCGAGAAGTTCAGCGTCGCGGATGCCGCGATCGAAGGCACCATCAGCGGGACCGTGAGCCCCAGAACCTTGCCCTCCTCGACTGACGATAACTTTCACGTCGACGAAACATGGCCGCAATTTCAGCTCATCAACCCCATGGCGGCTGGAGTGCCGGTGGACGCACCTCTGCTCTATCCTTATGCGAAAGACCCGACCGCTAACAACACAGTTATCGTCGACGATGGAGGAGAGCTGTCCAACGGACAAGGATTTTCAGAGGCTCACCCGGAGCAATATCTGACATTCCAGAATCTTTCTCAAGCGTTTCAATTCGCCGCTGATCCCTGGGCCGAGCTGCCTGCCAATCTCAATTCGAATACGTCGGCGCAAGCACCCATATCCGTTCCTCAGATGGGACCACAGGTACCAACCCAGATTATCAATCAGTCTCGCAGCTTCCAGGGCTCTTTGCGCCCACTCGAATCGCGCTGGCTTGAGGGCCTCGAATCCCAACTGCCTACGAACCTAACTTCGCCTGCCTCATTGTCGACAAATTGTCAAGACCGCCCCTTACCTAAAGATGACAGAGGAGTTCAGGATGCATTCCAGTACAAGTCAGAGAGCTCTTCCGTTTCTGGTGATCTCTCAGGGGTTTACGACTGCTCCTACTCAGGCCTGAGTGATGATGTGCCGGCGTTTGCAGAGCGACAGCTGGAAGACGAGGGTGCTTGGAAGGATGAGCAGAAGGAGGAGTCTTCGTCTGCGACCTCGCAGCCAATCCAGAGTGCCACTGCATTCGTGGTCAGCGAAAACCCCCAAGAGTCTTTCTTCATGACTGCTCCTAGCAGATCGAGGGCTTCGTCGACCGCTGCGCAACGAGCCTCTGGCCGGCCTCAGGCACTCGCTTTGCAATCAGTGGCTACCGTCAGAAAGCGAAAGCAGCGTACCTCGAACGTCAGCATTGACCAGAATCTGCCGAAACCACTGCAGATTGTCCAAGAGGACGGCCAAGGCGGTTCCATTGCCTCCGCTGATTTTGTGTCTCCGCCTCGTGGAGCACGCCGCAAGGGGCCCTTGAGCATGGTTGGCAGGGCCAATGCTGGAATGCGGAGGAAGAACAAGGATACTTGTGTTCAGTGCCGCCTGAACAAGCGGAAGGTTGGTTTTACCTGTCTCTGGCTTGTTTCGGTCTCGTATAACAGAAAGCTGACCATTGTAGTGCGATGGAAGCTCTCCATGCGACGCTTGTCGCCCTACCCTACACGAGCAGCCATGTGCGCGTGCCTGTTTTGCAAACATTGTCGAATATGGGACATGCAATTATATCTGTACGTACTCGACCCTTTTATCGTAACGGACATTTTTGACTAACAACAATTAGCTCAACGAGCTGTCAATCACCCAACCGTGGATCGCTCTGGCCGGGTCCGGATGGAAATCCCATCCAAATTCGACTTGAATGACCTTTTGACGTTCCTGAGCGAGCGGCAAGGACGGTTCAACATCCGTGCTAGTCAAGCATGGGGGTCACTGTACGTTTTGGACTTGGCAGAGACGTACAAGTTCTTGAAATCATTGAGCGAGTACAATGGCAACTCGCGATCCACCTTTCTCGAATTCATCGACCGTCGGATAGTGGAGTCGAAAGACAAGTCCAAGAACTGGCTGAGCTGTGTCAAAGACTGCGATCCGATGAACAATATCTACGTAAGTGCTAAGCCATTCTTATCTTGTATCCTCGACTGACTTGATTTCTAGTCTCTGCTCTCACAATGGAACAACATGCCTAGTCGTGCCAGCTATAGCTTCGTTCCTCTGCAAACTGGAGGCCAAGAAAGGCCCATGGACGTCCACAACCCCGAAGATCAACGCGAGATTCTGCTAGCGGCGCAGCTGTCGCGGATTGTCTGCCGCATGCTGGAGGTTGAAGGGTTCCGGAAGCTTGAACGGGACTTTTACAACATCAAGTGGAAACAGATCTCTCAAGAGACACACCTGCGTTTCCTGAGTCAACTCGGGCATATCCTTCTCTCTCTTCGGTGGCGAGTGTCCTGGTGGAAGCGCCTTGGGGACGGCGGCCGCGAGCCCGATCCCTCGAAGCAGCATTATGAGGATCGAGTCGAACTGCTTTGCCGAATCCTCTATGTCTACTACACCTGTGTGCTGGCGAAGCTTCCTTCGTGGTCGACCGCCGATGTGCCCAAGGGCGTCTGGTCCACTTATGCTGATTCGGAAAATGTGGTGTGGGACGATTTCCCCCTGGATCCCAGCGAAGATGGATTCAAGAACTGGATGGAACGAGGCCGCGAACTCATTGAGCAAGCTGGTGTTCCGAACCGCGTCTCAAAGATCTAGGTGTCGACTCCCCTAGAGATGTAAAAAAGCAAACCCTCGCTTGAAAAAAGATTGTTGGTGGATTGGAACTGGAGTTTTTAACGATACCCATGCAGCGTTTTCATTTCTGGTCTTTACCTCTCTACGAGTGATGATTCTATCATTTTT